TTAAGGGGCTTAAGGGAGCCCATTTTCCTCTCTTCTCACGCAGCTGATAGGGGGATTAAAAGACAGATTATCTAACCTAAGTAACCTCCCATTTACTCCTCATTACTTCCCCCCCCCTTAATTATGCCTTAACACTTGCTCTTCCTCTTCCCTTTCTCACGTACGAAAAGGCTTCACAAAACAATGATCTTCACTCCTTTCACACGCTACACAAAAATCATCTCTCTTCCTCTAAATTTTCGTGGTCCTCAAAGGTTTTATCAAGGGTAAATGAAGGGTCTTCTTGCTGTGTAATTTATCAACAAAATCGTGGTGGAATATTTCCATTGAAGCAAGGGAATCAAGGAGAAACAAGGCAAGGCTTGTTTGGGCGTGTGGTTTTCGTGGGTTTCAAAGGGGATTTTCGTGGGTCTTCTGCTCCTTTTTCTAAGTCTTTAATCAAGTCACGCTTCAAAGGTAACTAGTACAATCCCTTAGATTAGGAATTCTAATGTTTAGAGTTGATTACAGGATTAAAATCATGTTAGGGTTAGGAATGGTTTCAATTTTCGTATGTAGTGAGTATGTCAGTTTTTGGAATGGACTTGGCCTTATTTTATGTGTGTAACACATGAATTTCATGCCTAGTTTGGTTTACTATCAATCCCTAATTATTTTATGATGTTTTTGATGTGTTTATATCAAGTTATCACATGATTTTGGGGCTTACAAGCATGTTGTACGTGACTGATGTCTGCGTGTAAAACTTGGGTTTCTGCAGTGATTTCTGGTCGTGATTAAGCATTGATTTCAACGATTTTATTTTATAATATTGTAGAGGATTGTTTTACAATCGTTTTGATATATTATGGGTAAAATTCGGAGGTGTTTAAGGCCACAAAATGACTGAAATTGTGAGCCAATGTAGTGCTGTCGGTGCTGTTTTGGACGTGTGAGTAGCAGTATTTTAGGGCGTGATAAACTCTTTTTATTGTGTTTTATTGAACATATATCTTCTAGATTATCATGTTAGGATTGTTATGAGCTTATATTATAGTGAAATTCCATGTTTTTAGGCAATTCTACCGTTTATACGAGCATGTATTCTGATTTGTTAATCTGTCATGGCAGCTTGTGTATCTTGTGTCCTTAAGCCTTAAATTAATTATCTTGATTGATTTTATTGCCTAATTTGAATTAGCATCATGTTAGGATATTCCCCTAAATTGTTTTGGCATGATTTATGGAATTTTTATTGTGAGTATTATATATTTGAATTTATATTTTAAATAAGTGATGTGTAAATTTTTGGGTATTAGAAACCCCTAAAGTAAAATATTTTAATGTGTGTGTTTGGAATTGTGTGAGTTGTAATTGTATTGTCGACGTCGTAATGCTTTAGAGAAGAATAACACTGTCTTTAGCATTAGTTCGCCAAGAGTTGTGAATGCACTTAATTGTTGAATTCTGATAATTAATTATATTCCCGAACTCACACGATACCTTTTGTGGTTATTAAGTTTCAATGTGTTTTGAATTGGAGTTTCAATTAAATTTAAGAAATATGATTTTTCTTATGCAGTTTTAATTGAGTGTAAGACCATTTAGGCTTCTCTACAGATTTCATAGTGAAATATATTATATTATCTATTTTAATTGGTTTTCAATTGTGTGTGGGGCCATAGTTGGGTGTGAGGCCGAGTTGCTTCCCGATGATAAATGAACATGCTAACTACTTTGATTGCGAGTCTTAGGTAGCTCAACCTGGGTTAATTATTGTCGTCCGGGGGTGTGTAAGACCTTATAGGCATCTACCCATAACCGGGAGTTGGCCAATCTTAGACACGGTCTCTGCGAGATGACCGGGGGTTCGTCATGACAAACCTTAGGAAGTAGATTGCGAGGCCACTAACGTTCCCTCCGTGCCAATTTTGCTGTTTGAATGATTTTTGAACGGATTATGAAATTTTATGAAGTATATATATATTTTTGAGGTTATATGAAATTTTGCTTTAGTTTGGTTTATTTGATTTTGTTTTCAAAGATAATTTTCGTGATTTGTGTGGTTGAGTGTAAGTGATTTCTTACTTGTAATTTAATTTCTAAACCTTATTATTACTGATTTGAGGGAGAACTACTAGTTGCTCCCCACTGATTGTGGAATTTTTGTGGTTGTTTCAGATGCAGAGTGATGTTAGGTTATGTGCCGTTGGGCCGGGTTTGAGTAGGCCTTAGGCCACCTTAAGTTATACTTTTGAATGCTTTGGTTTGGTTTGGCTTGTTTGAATTGTTTGTGTGGATTCTCTTAACTGAGTTTGGCTTGAATACGTTTTGGGATTTGCCGATAAGGGTTGTTCTGCCCTTGGCTTCTTGTAATTTCAAGTTTATCTAACTTTTGTTCGCTTAGTCGAGTTCTTTTTTCTTGAGCCTCAATTGCCACATTTAGACCCGTTTAGGTTTAAATACACTAAAATCCAATGTCTATGCTCCAAGTAGATCACATAGACTTAAGTTAACATCCGATAGTGACAAAGTGACCTCCGTCACGGCGTATTTCCGCTAACGCCAATATTTGTATAAGGACGGGGTGTTACAGCTTTTATAACTTTTTCTATTTACTTTATCAAATAATTATTGTACTTCAAGTTTTTATACCTTTAATTTGAGATTCCTTTGAATTTGATGCTTTCTTTGGAGATTTCTTCTGTGTTGCAGGAACTTTCATGACTGTAGGAGAATTTTTGGCTAGTGGAGATTTCTTGGCTATAGGAGCTTTTTTTCTTGTAGCGGCCTTCTTTGCGCAGGATTTTCCTTTGCTGCATCTGGTTGTGTTGGAGGTTTTTTTTTTTGCAACATTTTTCTTTGTAGTTTTCGTCATTTTAATCTGTTTGCAATTCAAAATAAAAATGAATCATACTTTATTTATATTCTTTGGTTTTATATTTCCTGATATATATATATATATATACACTTTCAAATCAAATCTTGTTATTATAATAACAGCAACTGAAATGGTTTCCATACATGCAACATTTCGAAACAAAAAAATCAGAATTCATTCAACCACATCAATTTTTTAAATAATACACAAGTCATAATAGGTAATGAGACTATCATAACTTAATAAAACTATAGTGGCTCTAGATACAAATTAGGGCCTATTGGTCTTAACTGCAAATTCATTGAAAACGTGCAGATTGTTTTAGTTGTATTCAACCTCTAGGTTTAGCAATTATCCATTCCTAATAACTTTGGACAATTTTTGAAAAAATTACATACATGTTTAATTAATACACAAGCCATAATAGACAAACCACATCAATTTCTTGATTATACACAAGCCATAATAGACAAACCACATCAATTTCTTGATTATACACAAGCCATAATAGCTACAGATTTCACAATAAGTCATTAACTTTTAATCAATTTAAAGTTACTATTAGCCAATTTCTATCTACTTGTAAAAATAATCCCTTCAAAATTAAAACAAACTACAGAAACTCAAAGGAAAATACTCCAAACTTATGATTTTATTTTGGTGACTTTAAATTACTTTTTATCAACTTTTATTTGACTTCTTTTTACTATTAGCAACAATTACTCACAAATTAACCAAAATTACTCTAAATTAGTAGCAATAGAACTAAAAGTACTCAAATTCATAAATATAAACAGATCTAAAGTTTTAAGAATATTCATTTTAAAAAATTTTGTTATAATTTTATACCAAAATTTGTTAAAATAAACTGATATAAATTTATGTCAAAATTCGTAAAAAAATAAATGAATAAATAAATAAAAGAACCTTTGATCAACTTCGAATTAATTTCTTATCAGTTTTAAACTAAATTACAACAAATTTAAACAGAATTGAAAAAGTAAATCAAACATAATTTGAAAAAACAAACAAGATTCTAAATATACCTGACTATCAAGAAAATCAAACTTAATATCACCAAAATTGAACTTTAAACTACTCCGATTCAACATCTGCTACTTCAAATTTAACATAATCAAGCAAAAAATAAAAACAAAAATAAATAATAAATTGCAACAAAATTAGACGAAAGGGTATGAACTTCAAAGTTTTGATGTAATACCTAATATTCGCCAATTTTTAAAAATTTTATAAAATTTTTGTTTTGAAACTGAAAAATGTAGACAGTAGAACTTAAAATTGTAATTATATAGTGAAATTAAGCAGTTCAATTGACGGTTATGGAGGTTTTTCGAAGGTTTAGAGCAGTTAAAAATGGCAAAAAAGAGAGGGAAAATGGCGGAGGAGAGAGAGACAGGAAAGAGAAAATGACGCTTGAATTTCGTGACTCATTCAATTAGTCTGAACAAATTTAGGCAGTTAGATCGCGCGCTGCTTCGCTTACATCTAACGGTCCAAATTTGTTCCTAGTTCCTATTATATGATTGGTTCTATATATATATATATATAATATATATATATATATATATATATATTCTGTGTGTGTGTGTGTGTGTATACATATACATATACATATACATATACATATACATATATATATAAATATATATATATACACACATATATATACATATGTTCAGCTGAAAACAAGGCTTATGCTGAAAACAAGTCTTATGCTGAAAACAACAAATCTCAACCATTCATTATTAGCACAAAAGATCAGACGGTTCAAAAGCTCCAACCTTACATATAATCATGTCAATCGCTTTAAAGGTCACTATATACTAAATTAAGGTAATTTTATCTAAATTGACGACATTTACATAGAGTCACTATAAATAAAAATAACGTAACCAAATCAATTTTGAGTTTTTGACGATAATTACATAGAGGTCACTATATACAAAAATAAGGTAATCATATCAATTTATATTAAATTTGATGATATTTACTCATGTATTTACTCATATATAAAAATAAGGTAACAATATCAATTTTGAAAACGCTTGCACAGAGGTCACTATATATAAAAATAAAGTTACTTTATCAATTTTGACACATTTACACAAAGGTCACTATATATAAAAATAAGGTAACTATATACATTAAGGTAACTATATACAAAAATAAGGTAATTATATCAATTTTGACCACATTTGCATTAAAGTCACTATGTACAAAAATAGTGCAACTATATATCAATTTTGACCACATTTACATAAAAGGTCACTATATAAAAACAAGATAACTATATCAATTTTGATGATAACCTCCAACCAAAGTCAAGCAACACCCAATCTACGAGCCACTTGGATTCCATACCTTGCTGCCACGACTTCTTCATCCTCCATATTCCACCTTCTTGACATACGTCGTTACCTCTCTCCTCTCATTACAAGAAAAAAAAACCAAGGCCCACATATTTTGCCATTTGCTGCCCAAATGTGCATCCACATTCACCTTTGTGACACCCATAGTAGGTCGAATCCATGCTACAACCAAAGAGAAATCGGCTTACAAACACCTTCTTAGTATAGAGGCTATAATCAGCAACAAGCTTAGTAAAACTCACTGTTCTCGTCAAAAAAAAATGAAAAGAAAACTCACTGTTGTTTGGACATCGTTGTGCAGCAAGTTCTCATGTCTTGCCATGTTCTTACAGTACCATATATGACCATGCTAGTGCACATAGTACAATTGTTGAGCAAAGCCATGAAAATTTACGAGTATGACGACGAAACGAACAACAACATATAATAAGGCAAGGCTTATGGAGCTCCTGCCATTAATACTAAACATGTACTCCTATGATTAAGAAAATAAAAACATGTACTCCTATGATTTTCTAATTTACTCATTAGAAGATTAATTTTAGACCTAAGTAACACCTCAAATGTTAACACTCAAATTGCAAATTCAATAGAAATGAATAATTCAACTCTCGCAAAATTCAAGCAAACATGCTTTTCGGTCAAAAATAATCGACAAAATAAAAATATAAACAAAGACAATACTCACCATTATCAAACAAAATTTCTAGACCATTTATCAATATCATAGTCGAAATTTAGCTGCAAAATCATCACCAATACACATAAAAACCTAATTTACTAAAAATCAAGCACAATCAAACAAAATAAAACTCAAAAAAACTCCTATAAAATTGAAACTGAAGTCTAAACTCAAAAAAATTCGAATCGAAAATATCAATTTGATTTGCTAAAAATAACATGCTAGCTCAAAAACTAACAATCGAAGAATTCCTGAAAAAAGGGAAAATTACAAAATCAAACAAAAAAATAACTCAAAAATTTACACAAATGAAGCTCAAAACTACACAGACGAAACTGAAATTCAACTCAAAACTCAAAAATTTCAAATCGGAAAATCAATTTGATTTAAATTACTCAAATAAAGCAAAATTAAAAATGATTTACTCACTTGATAGATTGAAGACGATAATGGCAGCGAATTTGTTAACGAATCGAAGCAATCACAACTGTTAATTGAAGTAGAAGCATGAAGACTTGAAGAATTGAGAAATTAGGAGAGAGAAAGAGAGGAGTGATAAAATGACGCATGAAAATGAAGGAGGAGAGAGAAAGTAAAGGTTTTGTGTGTAATGGAAAAAAATCCCCACTTGTTAGATTTGATGAGTCAATCAACGGTCCAGATGAAACGTTTTCAATTTTCAGATTTAGTCTTGTTTTTACGTAATCCTCTTCCTATATATATATATATGTACGTACGTACATATATACGTATATATGTATATACATATGTATATATATATGTACATATGTATGTATATATATTATTATATATATTATATATACATATATGTATATATATATATATGTATATGTATATATATATGTGTGTGTGTATATATATATATACGTATATATATGTATGTATGCGTAGTGAATATTTCTAGCATTACCCCAGACTTGAACCCCACTGTGATCATACACTTAAGTATGGTGACGTCCAAAGGGAAGGAAGCTAGAGCAAAAGAGTCGCCAACAAGCTTTAGGAACTTGTAAACCGTTCACAGGGTGAAGGTTACACCCCTTAACGATCCATGCGATCGTCAACTCCAATAGGTACGAGTTCAATCTATAAGAGAAAGAACCCGCCCTATAAAATAGGCCTCTACTTTATTCTACTCGTATTCTTGTGTGCTTTCTAAATAACATGCAATCATTAGATTTAACCCTAAACATTTTTAGTCTATGTTGGTTGAATATTAATGCACAAACAAATCTATTATTGGCGATCATTTGAATTAAAATCATATTAGCCTAAACCAAATTATTAATTATCTTATTAGGCATGATTTCAAGTACAAATTCCCTTTAAACATGCAAAAAAGGCGTGATCAAGCAATAACAATAATATATATCAAGCAACATGATAATTATCAATAATAATAATAACAACACTAACAATCATCATTATAACAATCTTAATCATAATAATAATCATAATCATATCAACGCTAAAGCATAGTAATAATAGCAAGATCCTAGTACTAACATGCTATTAGAAAGAAGGAAAAGGCCATCTAAACATGATTCTAGAAAGCATTAATAACATCTTAACATGATACTAGGAATTAATCAAATCTAAACATGCTTTCTACATCGAAATAATAGGGAGTAAGCTACTTACTTACTTTGAAGCCTCGTACCTCTTTCTAATAACAAAGTACACGCGTTAGTAAACTTCAATGAAAATAATAAATTAAAGAATTAAATTATATAATTGAAAGAAAGAGTTAAAAAGTTTAGACTGGATTTGGGACCAAACCCTCAGAAATTATCAACCTTTCACGTCTAGGGCGAAGGCAACTTCGAACTTGGTTAGGCGTGTCTAGATCTTGTGAATGCGGAATTGTGTTTGCAAAAGGGTTGGTTTAGAAAGAGAGAGAGAGAGAATCAAGGAATTCTTGATGAGAGTTGATGATTGAAAACGGAGGTCCAAGGACCCTATTTATAGGAAAATAGTCCAAAAACGATAGAGAATAATTAGGGTTCAACATGGAATAAAACTGTCATCTGTCTTCAGGGCTAGACGCTAGCACCGTCGCCAGGCGACAGGACCAGTGCCAGGCGCTGCATCCCAGCACCAGGCGACAAACTGGCGACGCACTCTGTTGATTGGCACTAATTAAAAGATAAAACGTGCTTTGTACGAAATCCTTTTCCTCATATATTTAAGTAATTAGACTCCGCGTTAAACAATTTTTAGATCAGATTTATAAAAATAAAACACTTATTTTATTCCAAATAAAACTCTTTAAAATATAATTTTCAATCCTAATTCCATTAGGATTTAAGAGAACCTTCTAGATAATTCTAGAAGACTATAATCAATCATAATAGCTTTAGGAATGATAAATAATAATAGGCCCTCCTCTAGATCATTGGGCCGCATGTAAGAACCAAATCGGGCCCAATTTAGTATTTCAGCCATAACTTCCTCATTTTTCATCGGAATTGGGCTTATAATATATCGTTGGAAAGCTCTTTTCGAGCCCAATCCATCTACACTATTATTGGACCCTTGTCATGGACCTAATTAAATTGGACTGGCTATTTTCATAAATAGAGCAGGTTTTCGAAAACAGAAAGAAAGAGTTTTTAATAAAAACTACCGCAACACTAGGCTTTTCACACTTTCACTTCATTCGATTAACATTCGATGCGAAAGGTATTCATCACTGGGTTTGGTTTTGGGGAGCCACAATTGGGTGTCTACAGTATGTATATATCTATATGTATATATGTACTATTGTCAAATTTCAAACCAAAACCGTTTAACTGCCCAAATCCAACCGACCCAAATGAGAACTGAACCGATTAAAACCGTTTCTTTAAAACCGAAAACCGACCCGAACCGCATTTTAGTAAACCTGAAACCGAACCAATCCGAGTAATGTTAAACCGTTTAAGAACCGAACATGTTAACGAAGCGAACCAAATCTAAACCAAACCGAAAAAGAATCAAACCGTATCTAACCCGAAACCGCTTCCAACCCGAAACCGTTTGAACCGGCATACAAACCGCTTACACCGAACCGTTAGCAAACTGCTACCCGTTTGTACCGAACCGTTTAAAAACCGAACTTATTATAAACCGAACTACTTATAAACCGACCCGTTTATGAACCAAACTGCTTATAAATCGAATGGTTTTCAAACTTTTTCTGTATGTAATAATAATTTTTTTTTTGGTGCACTTTTTTATGTAATTATATGGATTAAGTATTAGAAATCTTAGAATATATTTAGCATATATTTCATACTTATCGATTTTTCTTGAGACCCTATACTTATCATATTAATTGTATATATCTTAGTTAATGATGACTCCCCTTAGAAATAGCACTTTGTTAGCTAATCCTTGAGTATTGTATTATCAAAACAAGGAATATATACATGAGTTACAAATTTACTAGCTATAAGTTAGGCATAGAACGAATATGTTAATGGTTTGCTACATTTGCTACATGTAATGGCAGAATATTGACTAGCCTAAACAGCTAACAAAATGCATATTCTAAACAATTGATTTTTTGAAACCGAAAACCGACCCGAACCGTAATTTAGTAAGCTCAAAATGAAACCGATCAACCAGTTATAAATTGAACCGAAAAAGAACCGAACCAATTATAAACTGAACCGAAAAAGAACCGAACCAGTTATAAACCAAACCAAAAAAGAATCGAACTGTTACTAAGCCGAAACCGTTTCCAACCTTGAAACTGTTTGAGCCGGGATAAAAACCGTTTACGCCGAACCGTTAACAAACCGCAACCTGTTTGCACCGAACCGTTTACTACCCAGACTGTTTACAACCCGAACCTAATTAAAACCACTCAAGAATAAACCAAAACCGAATCAAACCGATAACTATTTAAACCACTCAAGAGTATTCAATTCTTGTGTTGAACTTATTTATGCTTTGATATTTCATTTATGTTTTGGATTTTGATTGGTTTTAAATAAGGGGCTTTATGGTTCCAATTTGTAAGCTTTGACTTATTCGTTTTCTAAAATATGTTATTTTAAAGACTTATGTTTGGTTTTCTGCTGCGATACTTTGATAAAGCCTTAACGTTTTAACACGTGGCGATAACATGCCAATGGTTCTCCTCTATTTTATTTAAATTAAGTGGTTTAAAAAAAAGGAGAATTATTAGGGTGTTACAAACGTACTCATTAGTGCAATGTTCCCAAACTTAGATAAAATACCTCTTTATGGATAGTGTAGTGTTCCCAAACCCATGATGTACGCGTACCCTTACTAATTTTAGAATCAGGTGTATCTTTTGTGACAAGTTCATCATCCATAGATTTAGAAAATAGAGAATCATTATCAGCTCTTTCAGAATTAACATTTTGAGAATTGACATCCACATCTGTAAATATAAATGCATAAATTAGTTTAAGAAATTTCAATAACATAAACAATTATCATAGATTGCATTGAATCTGTTCATTAATATAGTTAGGTACAATACAAATAATTAATCTTACTCCACATTCATTTAATAAAGCTACCTGAATTATCACATCACATGCAAATTCATTTAATATTATAGGAGTATATATTGGCTAAATATCTCTTTTCTGTGAATAATCAAACTACAAAGACAATAATCACATTATGTAAAACTAAGGAGTCGTATATACTAATATTTCTTAACCAACTCCAATATAAGTAGGACCAAATTTTATTAGAAGAAAAATAAATCATTGATTATACTATGGTTTAAGAGTTTCACACTAAGGTAAGTAGGTGCATTTAAGTGAATTACCCCCTCACATTCTTTAGTGCATAGGAGAATCCGACCCTAACCAAGAACAAATACCAAATTCCACTACAAAGCATGCAATCCACTAAAACAACAGAAGTGACAATTATATTTTAAACAACAAATTAGGAAAAAGAAAAAAAATTGGAGTATTTATTTACCAGCCATTTAAAGCAGAGTGGGAGATTGCTAGTTGTGAATTGTAGAATTTGTAGAGAGAACAAAGAAGGGAGTCAGAGAAAGGAGTGATAATTGATTAATTGGTATTGTAATAAATTGGTACAATAAATACTTTAATTTATAGGGACGATTGAGATACCACAAAAATAAGGCAGAGCAATAAGAATGTTTGAATGGAGTCAACATTATAGGGATGGTACAATGATCAATATACTAGATTAGTCTCGTGCAATGCACGATTTAAACAAATTAAATTTCTAAATTTGTTTATTTTTCATATCAAAATTAAAAACAAAAACTTCCTAAAACAAACAATGCATCAAATATAAAAATAAAAAATAAAAAATTAGAGCTTGTAGAAAATCGAATGATGAAAGGGTACCTGTAGGTGTCATTTGAAGCGTGTCTACGTTAAAGCATGTGTGAATATGCTTGGCACTCATAGGAAGTGGGAATTGACATATACTATTAGGGACACGATTAGGGACAAGAAAAGTAGGGAGTCGCCAACAAGTTTTTAAGGAACTTGTAAACCGTTCACGGATCATAAAAAACAACCACGAAAAGGGACAACGAAAGGCAACAACGATTGACCCGTGAAGGTTACACCCTATTCATAATCCATGAG